GTGGCTGAAGACCTGCTCGCCCCCGCCGTTCTGCAGGTTCTGCATGTTGTTGAGATGCTTGTCGGACTGCATGTGAATGCTGAGGTTGCCTTTGGTCGTGGTGGAGTAGTTACACACCTCGCAGCGGAAAGGCTTGTAACCACACGTGTAGCTCTCGCCTCGGGCCAACCGGGGGTGGGGCTGCCCGCTTTTGCAGTAGACGCAGGAGCCCCCCGGCTCCGGGTGCTTCTCCTTCATGTGCGCCTCCAGCGTCTGCTGGTACTTGTAGTGCCAGTTGCACTTGGGGCACTTGAGGGTCTTGCACGAGTTACGAGAATGCATCATGGTCATGTGGCCGCCCAGCGAGCGGGAGGAGCCCAGGACCGTGTCACACTTGGGGCACTCCACGCCGCTCCCCGAGGGGCACTCCCCCACCCCAAGCTCACAGAGGGAGCCCGCGTGCTGGTGATGGGGGACGAAGCCCCCGTCGTCCCCCTCGGGGCTTTCATTTGGTTCTGGTGCTGTGGCATTGTCTTTATTGGCACTTTCGTCGGCGAAGTCCAGCCTCCTGCCGCCCTCTGCCACATTGGCCCTGACGCCCTCACTGTTAAAGCTTAAACGATTCCTCCTGTTCGCACCATCGAAGACAACAAAGGAAGAAGCGGAATTAGAACTAGTAGAAGCTGCGCCCCTCGACAGTGTCTGGAGCACGTTAGGCATTAAGGGGGAGTTAGAAATGCTTTGGTTTGAGAGAGCCAGGTCCTTTTTGCTGCTACCTGCCGCGGCCCCGGACTCGTCATGGGGCCTGTCCTCCAGTTCCTCGTCCAACTCACTGGGAAAGAGTTCTTTGCAACCCTCGTCTTCCTCCTCCTCCTCTTCCTCCTCTTCCTCGTCCTCCTCCTCTTCCGCCTCTTCCTCCTCCTCTTCCTCCTCCACCTCCTCCTCGGCTGGCCCTGCCTTCTCGGAGAAGCAGTCCGGGTCGCCCCCTTCCTGCTTCTCTCCTTCTGCCGCCCCGGGGTCCTTGCCCTCCGGGGATTTGGTCGGACTGGAGGCCAGAGGCCCCAGGGGGACTGAGGTAATGGGGGTCTTCAGGACCGAGCTGGTGAGCCCGCCAAGGTTCAAGAGGGTGCTGGGGGTCAAGATGCCAGCCGGGGGCTGCTCGGGGCCGGCGGCAGAGCCGGCTGGGAGCGCCTCCTCCCCTTCCATCCGAATGCCACTAAATTTACCATAAAAACTGTGTCCGGGACCTATGAGGTTAGCTGTGGAAACTAAAGGGTGCTGAAAGTTTTTGTTTTTTGGTTCCAGGAAACTTACAAGGGGTTCCTTGTCTTTGCCGATCCCTTGGATGATAGCGGAGATGTTCTTATTGCTAAGAATCTTCCGCTCGTCTTCACTCAGGGTCATTCGATGGTCGTGCACCGCGTGGGTCACGAAGGAGCGGACGTAGCCGAAGGAGAGCTTGCACAGGAAACACATCAGGATGGGCTTCCGCTTGCCGTAGAGCACGAAGCCATCGAACTTGGACAGGTCCACATTGTTGGGAACATCTTTGGATACGCAGGAGCTTTTGGCAGAGCCGTCGCTGTTCAGGTAATCCTTGTTGCTTTTGTGTCGCACGTCAAACACGCGGAAGCTGTGCAGGACGGGGCTGAGCCCCGCCAGGGCTGAGGTATTCGGGAAAGCCGGGTCTGGGCCCTCGAACCACTTCCCGAAGGATGAGGCTATGTGGAAAGTGTTGATGATCTGCGGGTAGACGGGTGCCGCACAGGAAGGGTCCCCCTGCTTGCCCCCCGCCCCGGGGAGGGAGTTCAGAAAGAGCGAGGGGAGAGGCCCGCTGCCGCTGCCGCAGGCGCCCCCGCTCTGGGTCAGCTGGCTCAGGCTCTCCACGATGTAGGCCGAGCCGTCGGGCTGGTAGACGATCTCCCCAGCCAGGTTCTCCACGTCGCTCTCCTCGTCCCCCTCCTCGCTGCTGTCGCTCCCGCTCTCCTCCCTCAGGGGCCGCGGGGGGCGCGCGCTGGGGCAGTGGTGCTCCATGTGGGGCTGCAGG